GATTAATAGCAATGGAGATGAGCGTGTATGACACGTGTTTGGGTGTCTGTCTGTCCTGTGGTGGTTGGTGCCAGCAAGGTGCAACTGGTAGAGAAAGGGCACATGAATTAAGCCCTTTGCTCTTAGGTAACAATGGATCTGATCCCATCCACAGTCCCGACCTGACCAGCATCCCTTGAGAAGATGCAGGGCTGGAGCTCTCCCATGCCATAATCTCTGGGACAGCTCCAGCCAAGGAGGGACTCAGCACTTCCCTTCTATCCATGAGGAGACACTCCAGGCTTGGCTCTTCTCAAGCATAAACCAACTCTGAGCCTCAGCCACAGCGAGGCTACACCAGAAGGGAGGATGGGAGGGTGGGGCTGCAGGACTGGGCAGGCTGAGCTTGTGGTTGAGGCTGCTCCTCACCCCATGTTGGCATCACAGTGGAAATGCATCTGGAAGAGCTGCACGTCTGGAAGAGGTGCTGATGGGGGATCTTTGCCTTTAGCTTTGGTGCCAAGACCAACAGAGCACCAGACTGACAGCTGTGCTGGCTCTAAGAACAGCCCAACCTGGTTCCTCTGCCACAGTTTGTTTTGAGACTGACACAAAGCCAGATCGTTCACAAAAAGAACCTACAGCCTTTCCCAGGTACTAATTTTCCCCTTGCATAGGGTGAGACTCCTTAAATTTCTCTACTATTTTGCTTTGAAAATTACTTATTCCCCGAGCTACCCTGGCTCCTCTGCCTCTCCATGATATATCCCTCGCCTGCCAGGACACTAGGCTAGGCTCAGAGTCACTACACACAGATTAATTGCCTGGTACGGATGGGTTGGGTGGCTGGAAGGCGGCTGCCAACCCGGAGGTGTTATGCCTAAGTTCTGCTTCAATTTACGATCTCTCTCCCTCCTGTCTGTGTGCAACTTGCAGGAATATAACTGTCTCTGAAATATCTGCTTCCTCCCAAATTCATCTGACATTCATTAACGGGCTCAGAAGCTTTTGGGAGAGGGGGATGGACACACATGCAGCACAGCAGAACCTTTATTTCCTTAGGGAAGCAGCCTAAAGAAATATTAGCATTTATTCTCCTCTGTTGCTGAGCTTACGACCCACACAAATAACAGGGAATAGCAAGCGAGCAGCCGACTGCAGAATGGGAACAGGGAAAATGACTCAGCAGGCTTGGCACTGATCTGGAGAATATGCAGGTACATTATAACCTTGCTTGAGCATCAATCTGATCCGTGACGTGACGTAGAAACAGCAGCTACTGTGGATATTTGCATCCGACGGAAACATTCCTCCTGATAAATGATTTAGCTCTGCTCTTGCAAACAGTTATATCCAGGAGCAGAGCAGGTGAGAAGCTGCTTTCATATTTGCCATGAAAGGAGAGAAAAAAGTTCAATGAAAACCTCTGACTGATTTCTAAATACCCTTTTTTATTTTTTTTTTCTCTGTTATCAGTTGACAAATAGCTGCTGAATTATAGTTTCATGCTTTGTTCGTGTCATTTTCCCCAAGATCAGTATTTCCTGCTACATCACCTTAGAAACTTGATCAACAAACACTCTGCTCGACACATAAACAAAGCTTTATTTTACACTATTTTTGACAGCAGCCACAGTTTTAGAAAACAGAACATTTCAGGTTCTCTGGGCTATTTGCCTCAATGTCACAATTTGGTTTTGGTTTTGAGGGCCTGTCAGCATTGTTTATACCCAGATCTTTAGCAATAGGGATGTTTTTGTGCGAGTGGCAAAGAAAATATATTGCTGCAAACTGCCTTCTGGAATCAGACTTTCTTCTCTTCTATGAAGAGTCTAAATGAAACTGCACTTTCTAACACACGGGAACTAAAGAGTGAAATGAATTCGAAAGAGAAGTGAAACGAGAAGACTCAGTTTCAACAACAAAGATGAACCAAAAAGAAGCAAAGACAACTTCGACAATGAATCAGGACCATCTCCAAAGCTCAAGCTGCAATATAATCCAGGAGTGTTATCTCCAACAGAACAACTGAAGAACTTAGCAGGCCCTTTAAATACTTCCTCATGGAATAGCATAAAATCTTGTCCTGACCTCATGACGAGGTCTTTGTTTTATTGTGAAAAAGCAAGACCAGAGCCTCGTAAAGCTTTCTTACTTGGTTTCACAAGATGAGCATTTCCCAGGTAGCTGCTGTGAAAGCACAAATTAATCCAAGAGCAAACAGGGGATTTTATTTGGCAGTTTTCAAAAACCTGCACAAGAACCCCAGCTAGTGAGCCTCCTGTGATCTGCTACCACACAGAGTCCATCAGTTAGGGATTAATTTTAAGGCAGATATTAAAGCCTATCACATGATGAAGGATTTTCCTGTATGTGGACTTCAATGGGATGCTTTAAATCCTGTGCGTGCGCGGGTATACACGTTTATGTGCACGCCGGGGTTTGTTCAAACCTTTTCCATTCACAGGCAGACACAGCCTGAGGCTTCTTCAGGCCTTTCCAGGGAACAGAAACTCGGGAGGGGAGGGAGGGAGAAGGGTCATGTTTAAACCTCACGTTTTTAAAAGTAAGTTTTTGAAGGAGACAGGCTCAGGTGGAAGGAGCCAAGATCGCCAGGATTTTATAACTAACATAATTTTTTAAGAGGAGGTAGAATCCCTGCTCTTTCTTAAGTGCAAGATCTCCTTGCAAGAATTTAAAGCGAATTGGGGGGGGGGAAAGCGCCCTTTTTACAGAAATGCATCGTTTTGCTTTCCTGCTGGGCTGTAACCTAAAGCGTCTTGGCTGGAGAAAATGAAATAAAGCTGAGTGATGGTGCGCTGTCACTGCTGCTGCCGACACTCTGCCTCCTGCGAATCTCCCGACATCGCGCACCGATCTCCCGGTCAAGAGCCCGGGAAGCAGAGCGGTGCCTCCTCCTTCCAGGCTCAATCCTGCGCCACACAAACTTACCCTCCAGCTTTGTAAAGCACGGCCGGGGTTTGCAGCGAGCGGCTCTGCCCGAGGTGCCGCTTTCCCAGGGCTGGTGTGGCGAGGAAACTCTTCCCATGACACAGCAGAACAGCAACAGCAGCAGCAGAGTAAAACAGATCAGTTCTGGCAGTGCTCCTGGAAGACTACTTTATATCCCAGCTCCAGCCTCTTCCTCCTTTCAGGACGAATTTGAAGGAGGGAATATGGAATAAAAAGAGGCTTGGTGAGGCAGGGAAATAAGGCCCAGAGAGATGGGAAACAAGGCACACTGGAGGTGGTCTCCACGGCATGGGGACAGCCTGGATAAACGGCAGAAAGGAATCCAGAGGAAGAAATCCCCACAAAATTGGATGGGAAGGAGAGGCAAACACAAACAGTGTGTAGAGTGGATGAATAGAAGACTCTGACAGGAAGGAAAGAAAGAAAGAAGGATAAACTGTTTCTCACTTTATTTTTTAATTCTTTTCAGCTAAAATCATGACTAATTTCTACAAAACTCCTGAAAGTCTTGATAAAATAATAGCAGAGGTTATCTGAAACACTGTTCTGTAGATACACAGCTCATTTCACGGGCACTTGAAAATGAGAGGGGCAGAGCACAGGTGCTTCAACCCCAAAGCACGAACGGGAGAGAGAAGGGAGATGGATGATCTGCTGTCATTGCAGGATTGGGCCTGGATGGCCGGGCAGCTCTGGTCCCCTCCCGAGGCTAACAGGCACCAGCATCAACCTGGCAGTCGGAAAAAAAGTCGTTTATAGGACTCCCACCAGGAAAACTCGGTGGGACATTGAAGAAATTAAATCCCCAACTTAAAATTTGTTGCACCTGTGGGTCGTGCTTTGATCTGCCAAGGGGCTGCTGGAAGTGGTAGGGAAGGAGGGAATGCGGAATTGCTTTTCCTCCTTCAGTTTTTGACAACGAATCCATCTCCCCCTCTCAATTCAGCCCCTCGAGCCTTGCACTTGACCAGAAATACCGACGTGATGCCACCGGTTCGGGAGCGGAATGTGGGGATCTCCCGCAGGAACTTTTCACGGGGGGAAAACCCCGAGAGCCCCCTGCGCGTTGTCAGCCCGGCGGCGGGAGCGTGGAGCGGCTGGGCTTTATCTCCCGGATCCCAAATCCTGGGGGCAGAAGGAGAACGGGGAATAAAACCCACTTCAGCACCGCAGGCGGAACAGCAGCCGGAGGAACGCGGCGCTGCCGCCGGCCGGCCCCGCACCCCCGGCGGGATGCGCGGAGCACCGGGGGCTGCCCGAACCACGGGGAATGTCGGCACCTTCCCTTTTCCCTTCCGTAAGGGCTGGCTGCTTGCTGGCAGCGTTGCAGCGGCCGGCGCGCATCCCTAGGAGCGGCTCGTTCCAGCATCCCGGCGCACAGCCGGCTGTCGGGAGCCGGCGGTGTGACGGGTCGGGACGGTGAAATCGCTTCGCTGCCGACCGACCGGCAGAGTTAAAGCGCGGCGGTGGCGACCACCGCATCGACTCCGCACCGGCAGCGCCGCTCACATCTGCCACTCCTCAGTCCGACACAAACAAGTTTGGGTTCCCCCTCCCTCCCAGTTTTGTTCTTTTCTTTTTCTTTTTTTTTTTTTTTTCTGGTTGTTTTGGGTTTTTTTGGGGTTTTTTTGTTTGTTTGTTTGTTTTGGGTTTTTTCGGTTTTTTGGGTTTTTTTTCTGCCGCTTCCAGCATCCGAGACCCACCGCGGCCGCAGACGAACCCCGCATCCCGCACCCTCCAGTAGCGGGGTCCATCCCCCGCACGGTGCCTGCCTGGTTGTTCCACGTAGCGACCGGTGCGAAAAGAGGAGGAGAAAAAAAAAAAAAAAAAACCAAACCGACAAACCCCAAACCAACCCTAATTAACAATAATAATAACAATAATAATAAAAGAAGCAAGCGCAGCAACTTGCTTTAAGCAGAGGGCTTTAGGAGCGGAGAGCGCAGCCCCCCGGGGAGCGCAGGGAGGGCAGGCGGGCACCGCCGGGGCTCGCAGCCCCCCGGGGGTACCGGCGGGTCCGGCGGCGGACGTGGAAGTCCCCTTTAAGTTTCCATAGAGAGGCCTCCGGGTGTCACATGATGGACATGATATAACGAAACAACATCGTGGGGAGGAAGGGAGGGAAGCAGTGGGGGAGCCCGGGGAGGCGGCGGGGTAGGCGGTGGTGCCCCCCGACCCGCCCGCCCCGGCTGCACCTGTCTCGGCGCGCCGGGAGCGCGGTGTCCGCCCCGCTGATGGGGCTGCGGGCGGCACCTTCCCCCGGGGAGCGGACGACGAGGAGGAGGAGAAGGAGGAGAAGGAGCGCCGGTGGCGGAGGTAAGTTACCGGCGGGACCGGGGCGGGGGGCGCGGGGCGCGGTGTGCGGGGAGGGGATGCGGAGGGGGGGGGGGGGGGGGGGGGGGGGAGGGGGGGGCGGGGGGCGTGTGGGGGGGAGGGAGGTTCGCTCCTCCATCCCGTCTCCATCCCAGCTCCATCCCGGCTCCCGCCGCCCCCTCCCCGCCGCTCCCCCCCCCTCCGCACCCGCGGAGCCCCCGCGCACCTGGGGCAGCGCCGGCACCGCGCTGCCTCCCGCGGGCAGGGAGAACCGAGGGAGAGCCGAGAGCCCCTTTGCCCGCACCCCGGGTAGGACACGGCGGGTCGGGGGACGCGGCAGGTGCGCGGGGCGCTGTCGCGACATGGCTGGTGGTGGGGGGGGCGGGTACGCGCGTCGCGACATGGGGGAAGCAGCCAAGTGACAGCGCGGGGAGGGGGGGGGGAGAAGGACGGGGCTGCGCCGCGTTGTTCTTCCTCGTTGGTGCGTGGGTATCCCGAATGGAGCGGGAATAGCAGCGACTGCCCCCCGATCCCCCTTTTTCTCCATACGCATTTCCAAGTGCGTATGGAGAAAACAAGATGCGGAGCGGGGCGGGCGAGGTGGGGGGGGGGAAGGCGGGGAGGGCCGCGCTGCTGCTCGCAGCCCCGCTCCGTGACACAGGCGGTGCCGCCGCGGGGATATTTTAGCGCTTCGCTCCCGGGGGGTGATGATGGAGGCGGCCGAGGGCACCCACAGGTGGGTGCGTGAGGGGAGAGAGCGGGGGCGAAGCGGTGGCCGCGAGGGGAGCGCCGGAGCGGGTCGCGCACCCCGCGGGCTCGCGGCGGGAGTGAGGGTGAGGCGGGGAGCGGGGACGGGGCTTGGGCTGGCGAGTGGCGCAGCTCGGGGCGGCGCAGGGGTGCCGGCGGTGCCGCCATGGCGGGTGTGAGGGAGCGGCGCCCTCAGGGGGGTC